TTCATAAAAAGCCAAAATGTACCTATTCGCTCATCCATCACGAATTATTTGCGAGTTTCTAGTATGTTGTTAACTACATGGAAACATCATTTATTGTTTTGTTATGGATGAACAGATTTTCATACAAAAATCATTGGCAGCAATAATTACTTTTGAATTTCTAATGTGTTAACTTTTTGGAAATATCTGTTATTAAAGGTTGTTATGAACAGCAGTGATATGTCATGAATGAACAGATTCTCGGCAAACAGCAATTAATTGTGATGACATTTAGTTGTACATATGTTGTTAGTAGCAGGGTTGTTAATCGTGGAAAATAGTGATTTGCATAAATTACGCCACAGAATAATGCCATAGTATTGCCTGTAGCTGCTATTTGACAATATTTTATACTAAATAGCAACCTGGAACAACACTGATTTGTTCAAACCACTAGATATAGCACCGCTATAGCTGCTACTATACTATTTAACAACACTATAACTGCTATTTAGCAACAATGGAAACTTCTATTGGAACATAGAAGTGTGTACTTTGGTATTGTTCTATTATTTGATTAATAAAGACATGAGTTCCACTTGTAGGGGTGTGTGTCTCACACGCAGGTTGGTATTTAATGTATTTTAGATGTTCAGTTTTTGGGTCATTTCTCAACTTATAGGCAGATGAGGGAAAAAAAAAGATAAATACCTAAATCTGACCGTGTCATGGTGTTTTAAGTAGTACACAGTCTTCAAAATTTTAGATTATAATATACGGGATGTTTGTGTCTTTCAGGTACGTTCAAGTTGACGCTTCAGTTCACAGAGGATTATCCTAATAAACCACCTACTGTGCGCTTTGTTTCTCGGATGTTTCATCCAAACAGTAAGTACAACGCTACCTTGCAATTCCTTTCCGTAGTTTGAATAGAAATCACTTCAATTATTTGTGCATTGAATGCCTGAGTATTATTCTTGCGTTAAAACTAACAAGTTCAAATAGAAACGAGAAGTATTTCATTCTAGAAGTGTAACTTTGCTTCTAGAAGTCACTTTTGAAACAGCTTTTGATGAACTTCTTTGTTTTTCTTCTTCTTTTTCTTGTTGCAAACTTTCTTGAAGTATAGTTATTGGGAAAATAAAACATTTGTTCTTAAGTCAGATTTGGAACTTTGATTCTAGAGATTGGAGACAGTTTGTACTTTTCCCAGTCTGTTTCCTTTTGAAATTTGTATGCAGCGTGCCCCTTTTTTTATTATATAATTTACTTTGCTGCTTCCTCTATTTTCCTGCAACACTATATGTTTTTTTCAAATCACATATTTTTTAGCGTTCTGCAATTTTACTATTGACAGCATCACAACACTGCTTCCCCCCTGAATAGTTTGTATTTTGGACTTGTCATCATGGAATGCTATTTAAATTCATTATATTTGTTTCAAAGAAAATTTTGAATACTTAAGAAATTTAAATGCATAGTTTTTAGTGTGGTTGTCAAACAGTTGAGTTAACTCTGAATTATGCAAGTTTACAACTCTAAGTATCAAAATCAGATTAACTTGTTTACGTAGTGGTTTCTGTGTAAACTCCTCTCACGAGTTTGAGGATGACAGAATGATTCTACAATATTGAGGTGAACTTATCTCCAGCAAGGAGAACCTGAACTCAGCATCCTACAGTGTTTAATGATTTTGATTCTCATGATTTGTTATTTTGTCCATTGGTTTTGAACTTATGCTCTTTTTTGTGTGTTAAGCTGTGAACCTTGTGATTTGAGAATTTGTCCAGCAATTTTAAAATAGTAAAAGGCCTAAGCTCCCTTACAATGGATACCAGAGCTATTGCTCCTCCTATTCTCTCTTTTACCAACCTCTTTTGGTGTGCATAATGATACCACCCTTGTCATTCACCCCTGGTATAACTACATTGCTTATTCCAACTAACTGGCCATATCATCACCTCTTATTTCTCTCCCTTTTTGTTACGATAAAAAATTCCCTGATGGGCCGACCTTGCTTGAGGCCCACTAAGGGATCTCCTTCTGATTCAGCACAAATCCTCAAAGCAAGTATTCTGTTAACCCCATAGCTCCCAGCATAAATGAAGTCATAAACTAGAAACCAATGAGCCCACCGTTGCAAGATCGCAATGAACCAAATTCTGATGAACTGAAGCCTAGCCCTGCTAAGCGGAACAAAACTCTATTGAGGAGAATCTAACCCTGCCATCCTTCAGCTGTTAATAATTCCGAGTCTTGTTTGTGATTTGTCAATTTGTCCATTGGTTTTAAACTTGTTCTCTATTAAAATCAGATTTTCCGAAAGTTTGTGAATTTTTCTATCCATTTTGAGTCGTGATAGTATCTTTACGTGTTCCGGTTTGGTCTGGAGTGGTCCAGTATGGTTTGTTGGCTATTATTGTTTGTTTTATTCTAAGTTATAATGTTCAGTATATGACCCATGTCCTTTTGTGGATTGATATCATTAAAGTAGAAATCTTGAAAGTTTTTGTATGCTATTGTATAAATATGAATATTAATTATCAAAGGGTTAGGATATCTTGACACTTGTGTTAAAATTGGCACACTAGGCCATTTAACAACTTGACACAGAATCTTATTTAAAAACAATCTGACTGCTGAGTTATACATATTTGAATCTTACCAAATTTGTGAATATTAGCAAGCTTACAAGAATGTGATCAAGTGGTGAATATTTTAATTTGCTTGAATTGGAAAAGCATAAATGGAAAGAGTAACCTGGTGCTTTAATTTGCTTTGATAGCGTATTATATCTAAATTTAAATTAATGCAGTGCAAATCAATTTTGTCTTGATTAAAATTTGATTTATTAGCACAATAATGACATTAAATGTAGTCTAAGACCCTGTTGGTTGGAAATTTTAGTTTATGCAGATGGAAGTATATGCTTGGATATTTTACAAAATCAGTGGAGTCCAATTTATGACGTGGCTGCTATACTTACCTCAATTCAGGTAATTGTGATTCACTTAATATTTCAGAGTTATTTCTAAACAACAATTGCTGTAAATGATTTATTCTACACTGCCCATCAATTTGCATAGTTTCAATTGGTTGTTTCATATATTCATGCTCCCAATCCTTTTTTCTTGTTGTTTTATATGGAAGTTAACTGACTATTTTATATTATTTTTGTAGTCATTGTTGTGTGATCCAAACCCAAACTCTCCAGCAAATTCTGAAGCTGCTAGAATGTTCAGCGAAAACAAGCGTGAATACAACCGTAGAATACGTGAGATTGTCGAGCAGAGTTGGACTGCTGATTAACCATATCATATTTGGCATTGACTAGACAATGGCTGTGATAAAAATGGATATGATTGAATAACTACCAACTTCTATAAACAACTATGTTTTATTTTACTTGCCCTTGCTGGACTATTATGTGTTTGCTCAAACTTCATATCAATTAAGCATTCTTCCCTTTGTTGTGCACATTCTTGCTTTTGTTGACAACTTCATTCTTTGTTTTCATCCTAATTAACAGATGGTTTTTGTTAGCCTCTAAGGATTAAGATAGCATAGTTAACAGATGGTTTTTGTTAGCCTCTAAGGATATTAAGATAGCATAGTTAACAGATGGTTTTTGTTAGCCTTTAAGGATAAAGATTTGCTGCAGTTGGAAAAACCCGCAATCATGCAGTTAGGCATCTGATTAACATCAGACAGTGTTGATTTAAGCCTGTTATTTCTATTAAAAACAGCATAGTTAACGGACAGTTTTTGTTAATAGACAGTTTTTTCCTAGTCTTAGCCCTATGATTTTGAAGGGAAGAGACACTGATAATGTGAAGTTTGGTTGATAGGCAAGTAAAGTGAACAATGATTACAACTTTATTGCCTTATTTTATTTATTTATCTTGCTATTCAATGTGATACAATTTTCAGCCTCATGTTTTTAAATAAAAGAAAAATCTCTTTTAAATTAAGTATCACAAGTTCATTTTTATCTCTTATATTTTGTCCTTCTATTTATCTACTCTACTATCTAGCCATAAAGTAAAAGGCCAGCACACTTTCGAAATTGCCCTTCCCTTTTAAAAAAATTCCAAAGCAAAAAGTTTACTTTTGTCTCTTCATAATCAAAGCAAATTTATACCCTCCATATCAAACCCTTTTCAACTTCCATACTACTCTCAAGATCTCAACTTTTCACTTGCCCTTCACTTACATTCTCTCTCTCTCTCTGCGTTCTCTCTTGTTGTCTCTCTTTCCCTTCTCCCAAATCTTAGCCCGCCGCAGCCCCTATCTCCACCTTATATATGAGAATCACTACCTCCAATTTGAAAAAAATCAACATATTGGTTCTTCACATTTCACAACCTTTCTAATAAACCAAATAGATTTTTGTTTCAACCTTGCCGTCGACCACCGCTTCTCATTCTCGGACCGCCACAACTCTGAAATGGAAAAGAAAACATGTTTTCGTCATGCTCTCTTTCAGAGTAGTAAGTGTTTTCTAACTTCTCCTTTCGATTTTGTTTTTCTGTTTTAATCAACCATATATGTGATTTCACTTAAAGCTACATCACATTTATGTTTTAAAATGTTTCACATTTATGAAAATCAGATTCCAGTTCATGTTCATGTTCATATTTTTATTTCTGTTATGCAATTTTTTTTCTCATCAAAGCAAATATGTTCATGTTCATGTTCTTAGCTAAAGCGGTAGGCGGGATCAGACTCCGAATCAGCTTCAATCGTTGTCGAAGCATTAGCTAAAGCGGTATGCGAAAACTCGAAGCTGAAGAAGAACCATAGTTTCTAATTTAGGTTTAGAAAAATCTGTTACAAGTTTGATTCCTTCTTTTATCAGTGTCTCTCTCCTCAAGCTGAAGAAGAACCTGAAGTCAAGAATCACATAAATCGCTTCCTCTCAACTGAAGGATTGAAGATTCACGGTTCACTCTCATTCTCTCAACCTGGTATCTTTTTTCGTCTCCCTAAAGATTTTCTGTTACCATGAATCTTCTATTTACATGTGTATTGTTCCAACTGGTCCAAATGCTCTTTCTGCTGTACTTATAAGGTTTGTGAGTTCAATTTTGTTTGTATTTTCTTTCATATATCGTGTTTCTTCTTACCATCTTAATACTCATGTGATGTTATGTTGTGACAGTACACCAATTTTAACTGGCCATGGGGAAGGAGGAACTGGTTTAGCTGCAGCTAAGGGTGTGTCTAGATATGATTTTGATGTGGATCCAAACTTGGATCCTGAAGCACATACATTAAATCTGAAGCACATATATTTCAAGGTTCTTTTTCTTCTGTTTTGTTTTAATGTTTTAATCTGCTTTTTGTTTTTTATCTACTATATAAATCATACATAATCTTTTTTTTGGTTGACTGAGTTTTCTGTATAATTTATATGGATTGAGTAATGATTTTGGTTGGTTGAGTTTTTCGTGTAGTTTCAAACAACCTCGTCTCCGACAACCGTTTCTTCATTTCTGACCGATTCATACTCCTCATATTGGGGCCTTCTTAAAGCCTTTTGATTTACTTTCTGACTGATTTGGTGTTAATGATGCTCACAGGTTTGTGTGGTATGTTGGCATGCCAAAAGTTTTGGAAATGGTGAACACATACGATTAGTAGAAACAACCCGTTCCAGTATTCACAAGGCAGAAGTATATCTTCTACTAAATGCGTTTTTGGGTTAAAAAATCTACTTTTTTTATCAGCAACTCATTTGTTTACAAATCACAGGGGAAAACGTTGTAAACTAAACAAAGACTTTTGATGAGAAGCTCCAGTTATCATCGACGGGCTGGGCAACAGCTGTATCTTTTGACCAAAAGCTTGGGCTGAGTGAGAAAATAAGGGTTGGTGCTTAAGTTGTGAGCGATAAAGTATGAGAAATGTATCAAAAATTTCGGGTTTTGGAAAAGACAAAATCAACATTTAGAACTGCATAATATACAATCGATAGTGTTAGTTATGCCATAATGAAGAATCACTACATATTGCATTTCTTAGATATTTATTTTTCTTTTGTAAGATAAAATGAATTTCCTAAGTATTAAATTTATATTTTCCATATTCTCTTTAGCGATAGTTATTACCATATTTTAGCTTAACTAATAGTTAGATAACTGGTTGGCTAAGATGTCACATGGGTTGTGATCTGACCTGATCAGAAATAGACCGTCACGGCTGGCTCCGAGCAGAAAGCTTTTTGAACGAGGTGGGGGGTACCTGCAAGGCACTCCGATGCTGAAGTAAGTAGGAGTACGAGCAGATAATAGCAAGTGTGAGGTTAGAATGATGAATACCTGACCCTCTGGAAGCAGAGGGTCAATTAAGACTTTTGAAGGGTTGTAACATGGTTTGATTCACTGTTTAAGAAACAAAGTATAAAGGCTCAAAGTATATTTGTACCCACCCGTTCTTCATGATGTTCTTCAATCCTAAACTCAGTTAATTGTACATTTTGGCAGGTTTGGCCCAATGGAGGAACTGTCAGGTTCTACGTGCGTAGTGGGGACCCGCACGTGGTCCCCTTCCTGGATGTTCTGCGTGAAGTGCGGGCGGACAGAGACGCGGTCTTTTCGGAGTATCGTTGGGGGAACAGTGGACTGAGTCTGCCCTAGCTGGGGTGCTCGAGGTAACGTCGAGCTGGGCTTCAGAATGTGGTGCTGGACCACAGCATGTCGAGCTGGAGGTGTACTGTCGAGCCAGCGACTACGCGTCGGGCACGGTCGTACTCTTTGGTCGGCGTAGCCCTTGTAAGTCCATTTGGACTGGGCCTTTGCAACGCTTTTGGGCCTGTCGGGCCCAGTCCAGAACAGGAGCCCCCCAAGTCGTGGTTCCTTTGTGAGGAGCCATGGCTTGAACTCAGGTCGTTTCCTCATCGAGGTCTCGTGCTCGGGACAGAGGTGTAGGCCCTCGAGGGCCTCCTCGTGCCGTGCTCGGAGACATCTTTCGCGGTGGATGCCTGGAGGATCCTCACCGGGCGCGTCTGTCGAGCATACGAGGTATCTTTCGGGAACTGTGCCGCCACCTTATGGGGATAGGGTCATCATTGCGTTGGGAGCAGCGCGTCGAGGAGAGAGACTCCGTGGTTGCCCGAGGTGACGTTTGGTATTCCACGTCATCACTATAAATAGGAACCTTGGGCCCCATAACACGTTTCTATTCTCTGTGCTCTCTCTGCTGTTGCTCTTCCAGATTTTTTCCAGTCGCGATCTTCTGTCACAGATTCTTCTACTCCGTAGCCCAATCCTACTTTTGATTCAAGTAAGTGGTCTATCTTCTTCATTTTCCTGTTAAAATGCATGATTTTTGGCGTTTGTAGATGTTTTAGGGACTGTGCGCGTGGGATTAGTCCGATAAACTCATACTTAGCCCGACATATTCATGCCTAGGACCGGCAAACGCATGTTTGTGGTCGGCGTATTCATAGTTTTAGGTGATAAACTACAGCGCTGCCCGGGGTCTTCATGATCCAGGGCGCCTGATTCATGATCGCGCCCGGTATGTTCATGGTCTTGGCTGTGGGCCTCATGGTGTGGCTCGCCATGTTCATACCTTGCGTCGACATGTTGGAGGGTGACCGTGTAGTTGGTTTGAGGAGGAACACATCGAGTTTCAGGATGTCGGGGAGGCAACCATTCGTGGAAACGGACTATGTGGTCGTGCATGGGACGACGTGATTTGTCGAGCATATGGCTTCGTACCCAATTGACTGGTTTCCCGTGCTCTGCAGGTAACCATGGCGGACGAGCCGAGCTCCTCCGGGCGCCACGATCGTGAAGAACAAAGCGTCGATGAGTCGGTTAACCTGATTGATACTGTGACCGACCCTTTGCTGGATTGGGTGGGCGTCGAGCCCCGAGGGATCGCGTCGATCTACAGCCGGGGCGACCGAAATCCATATGCTGTCATCGAAGCGGGCCAGGGCGAGCCCGACTTCCAAAAGAACTTCGTAGTCATGCGCCCGTCCTCCCGTTCAAGGATCTGCTCGGTTTATCCAGAATATAGCTTCGCGATGTACGAGATCGCGTTCAAAGATCTAGGGCTGCTGCTGCCCTTCACGGATTTCCAGGTCGGGGTCTTCACTCACCTGGAGTTGGCCCCGTCCCAGCTACATCCAAACTCACTCGCCTTCATCCGGGCGTTTGAGCTGACGTGTCGCTATCTGAGGATCGGGGCGACCATACCGCTCTTCTTCCGGATTTTTCATCTGCAGCGCCAGTCTCGAGGCGGGAAACATAGCTGGGTCTCCTTAAAGCAGTCGAGGAGACTCTTCAAAATGTATATGGACTCCGTAAGGGGTTTCAAAGATAAGTGGTACGTTGTGCGGCCAGTTACCACCTCGGCTTTAGGATCCATGTACGAGGAGGAGGAGCCCCTAAGCGATGATGACAGGGAGGCGGTTTTGGGCGACGATGGGAGTCCTGTGATGGCACGTATGGCTAAGTTCCCTGTGCATTGGATATTCAGGCACTACGAGTATGGGACCGGTTACTACCACACTGCTGCCAGGGACATGTGCTCGGAAGACGAGGAGGCGTATGCCACACTTTGCCGGTTTGTCGATAGCTTCCACCCTGCTCGGTGGGCTACGAGGGAAGGGGACGATATCCTGGACGCAGAGGGTTACCCAACGTTTGAGTCCCGGCCGATTGATACCAAGGCGCTCGTGGAGTGCCAGACGTACAGGCAGGCTGCCCGTCTGCTAGGTCGTTTATTGCTTGAATTTCTTTGCTCGTCATTTATTTATGAGCTTGCTCGATACTGACCCATTTCTTATTTTGTGCAGGTTCGATGGCCGGTCGACATGAAAGGCTTTTGAAATTGTCTTGCGACCAGAAGCGAGGCAGGAGGGTCGTGAAGGCCCCACAGGCGACGAGGATGGGTCCGCCACACAGTCCAAGTGCTCCTCAGTCGGTGAGGGTGGACTCGCCGCCAAGCTCGGGGGCCGCGTCGGACGGGACCCCAGAAGTTGAAGAGGTCGACCCTAGTGCCGTTCTGATGCAGAGGAAGAGGACCCGTGTGGAAAGTGGTCTGACTGTTGGTGAGGACGCCAGTGCCGTTAGGTCTTTCGCGTTCCCCCCTTGCTTCAAAGAGGAGGGCTTCTTCGAGATATTCCCTCTGACAGTGATCGCCGACGAGGCTGAAGCTATCAAAAGGATGAGCAAAGAGGATCGGAAGATGTATCTGGCCGCCAGCATGGACGGGCTGGTGAAAATGGCCGAGATGGCCTTGGTGCTATCCGAGGAAGGAGGGGATCCTGCCCGTATCAACGAACTCGAGCAGGAGAAGGCGGCCCTTACCTCGAGCTCGCGGAAGTTGAAGACCGCTCTGGAACGCTCCGAGGGGATGTTTCGCGAGCAGACGGCGATGTTGGATGCTGAGAGAGAGATGTTGACCTTGGAGAAGGAAAAGTCAGGGAAGTTGGCCGAGGAGGGGGAGCTTCTCCGGGCAGACAGGGATCGTCTGGGGGCCGAAGTCGGACGCTTGGCCCAGCAGATCGAGGGAATGAACGCTGCCATGCAACCTGCCGAGGACGAGCCGGAGGACATAACGGCTTTGAAGAGTCGGTTGGAGCTGGTCGCCCATATCCGGCTCCTCGAGGCAGATTGCGTCGGTGCCCTGGAGGACGGGTTCAACTCCGCAGTCGGTCAGCTCTCCTTGCTAAACCCTGGTCTGGTCACTGAGGGTATCGGCCACACACATCAGATCGTGGATGGCGTGATCGTTCCTCCGCCCGACTCTCCAAGCGTCGACAATGATGGTTCTGGGGAAACCTGACTAGGATAGCGGGCCTGCGTGCCTTTGACATTTGTATTCTTTGGGCCTGCGTGCCCATTTGTTGTACGTTATGAACATCGCCGGCCTTGGTCGGTTTATAATTGTTTTGTCGCCTTCGGGCATTTTTATCTGAATGCTGTTTTACATTTTGGATGTTTTGCCCTTGCTTGAAACCTTATATGTTTGCATGAGTTTTTAGCCTAAGCCATGGGCCCGAGGCGTGCCCGTAAGCGGCTGTGATTTGGCGAGCGAGTCTGCCCGCCTTCCGTTTGTGTATGTGCCCGGCCTTCTTTCGCTGGCCAGAGTCACCTAAGTGTTGTGCTCGAGGGGAGAGACTTCCCTTTGACCCTTTTAGATGGCCCGTCATTCTTGACGATTTGTCGGGCATTTGGAGCGAGGTTGCTCAGTCGGGCGCGAAGCCCGGTCGGGACTATTCGCCCTTGGCGTGAACTGCCCATCGCGAGCTGGGTGTTCTGCCTCATGGGTACAACGACGGTGGGGCTCGGTGTAGCTGTCCACGTCGGGCAGTATCGATCGTCATCGTTTGTCGCGCGATGCTGTGCGATTTGGCCGTATGTCGGGCTTGTACCTTAGCCTTTATAGGAAGTCGGACGTTTTTTCCTCGTTGACCGAGCGCGGGCGCCGTTGGTCGAGGGTCCCAGGTGTTGGTAGTTTCTAACTGTAGTACTGCTTTAGCTTAGCAGCGTTCCAGGGTCGCGGTAATGGCTCTCCGTCTAATTGCTCGAGGTAGTACGCCCCGATACCCGTGGTGTTGTGGACGCGGTAAGGTCCTTCCCAGTTCGCGGCCAACTTCCCTTCGCGGGAATCTTTCTGGTTCCTGCGTAATACCAGACTGCCGATTTTGAACTCGCGCCTGATGACCTTGTCGTTGTGGCGTAGAGCCACTCGTTGTTTTAGGGTGGCTTCGCGCAGGGCTGCACCCGATCGGATTTCCTCGACTAGGTCGA